ATAATCTGACCATTTGTCCATGTATTCTTAACTTTAAATTTTCTCTAATAATACTTCACTATATTCAGATAAACTTCCTCACGTCTCATAAGTGTTTCCACTTTTTGGACTTTGCTCACACTGTTCCTCTTACTTAGAATGAGATTCTCCTTACCTTGCAAGCCTCCAAGTTTGATCCGTCTTTTAAAGTCTAACTCAAGACATTTTTCATGAAGTCATCCTTGAATATTCACATTTATTGATCTTCAATTTCTCCAAACCCTAAATTCCTGTATCATCTGAATAAATGTGAATTAGAGTGATAAATTTATAGAAAAGTTAAGTGTTTTATCTTAAACAGTATTTTGAGAGGCCTGGGTTCTTTTCCAGAGCTGTCCATATATGGTTAAACTGATAATTTTCTCACAATGCATTTCCCTATAGCCAACCAAGGCAATAATATCCCATTGACACTATGGTTATATCTTCTACACTTTAGTGATATAGGACATGTGTACTTGAGCATCAGATTTTTTACCTTTGATTTTGCCCATACTATCTCATGTCTATTTTCTTGGGAAAAAAAAATCAAAGGCATATTTAAACTTCAAAACAGCATAACAAGAAAAACTTGAAATTTAGCTATTGTTCTTCATTTGAGTATTTCTTCCATAGTGGTAGTTCCTATTTCATTTGACATGAATTGTTCATTGGGAAAATATGTTAAAATTTTATGTATATGTGTGTGTAGATATCCCTGTCTCTTCTAGGTACAATGCTGTCTGTAAAATAAAATTAAATCAAATAGGTTTTACTCTGTGAAAGATTGTTACATATTTTTCATACTGTTTCTCCAATTAGTACAATACATGGAGTTTATGCAGTTAAGACTCAAAAGTGTTCTTCAAAAAAGCCCCATCGTTTAGAGTTTAATAGATTGCTGATGTCAAAATATTTCACACTTCATTAAAATACAAAAGATAGTTATAAAGTCATTATCACAGAATTACAAAAGAAGCTTCCAAACTATAGTCCTGATCAGTCACTCTTCTCATTCACTATGAGAAAACTGAGACCTGGAGCAACAGGATAAATTGACAGTTATATAGTAAGTTGGTCACAAAGTCGGGAATAAAACCAAGTTGTCGGTTCAATCATCCATTCACTATTAATAGACACCTTAGTATGCTAAATCATAACCACTTTCATGTACCTGCTTTTAGAAATAAATATCAGGGTTTATATTTATGTTATTATATCACAATATTATAATCACAATCAACACTTTTATAAATGCATTAAATACTGGCCTCTTACACACTTTATAAACATGTTCTATTAGTTTGTGAAGAATTCACCAAAACATTATGAATGCCTGTATTTAAATGTTGAAGAAAGAATATAACAAGGTTTATAATTTCTTGATTGTGAAAAAGACATAAGGCATTGCAAGTATTTTCATCTGTTTGGGTAATGGAGATACTCAATTAGTTTAGGACAATTGTATCATTAAGAAATAGTCCAGCTGGTTTTGAGAACAATTTGCACAGTTGAATTGTTGCCGATCATTCTTAAGCAACTTTTGGAAGATAAATCATTCCTGACAGTGATGTCTTTAATAACACATGCATCCCATTCCCCAAAATTATTTTGGTATAAGTAAAGAAAGGCAAGTCAAGGAAGACATAATGTTGGCCAGTGAAGAATTTATCTCAAGTTAGTAGAGGTTATGTTTGTCTCAGTTTTTAATGATCTCTTTGCAAAGGGAAAATTTTCAATCAATATTAGCTTATTATTTTTATCACCTTAAGGCAGGCAGGAAGGAAATATGAAAACCTCTAATAGCATGTTTTAGCAATAGTATATTGAAGTACATTAAAATTTAACATTCATGGAGCTATATCTATATAGTGAGAACTGTGCTAAGCTCTTTATTATGCGCATTATCTCATTTAGTTCTCACAGTAGCCTTGCTTAGGAGGCTTGGGAAGTCACATAACATTACCAAGTACATCTAATTAATGGTAAAATTAAGATTTTTAACTCAGGTTTGTCAAACTTCAGAAAATGTGTTCATAGCTACCATACAGCCTCTCAACTGAAGTATGAAACATATATCTGAAGGGAAGCTCTTAGAGCAACATTTATGGTGCTGTGACCACTAATAGGTCATTTTGATCCATATGTATTTTAATAGACCGTTTTAGTTCCGTTTACTAGATATGTAATTATTACATATATATCATAACATCAAGTATTGAGGATAATGTTGAGTATTCATTAGAGCAGATTTCAATATTAAAATGGAATGTATGGTATTTTGTTTTATAAGCTTTAGCTGTGCCATGTTTATATTTTGAAAAATTGTTTTGCTTTGATGGGAAATTTTCAACCAATGCTTTCTTTTTTCAAAATACAAATTTTGAATTATTTAGAACCTATAATCTACAGTTTAAATAACCTTTATATTTTCTTTAATTTTGCTTTGTACGAACAATAAAATATTTCATTTTTTAAAGATCTTAAGGTCAAAAGATCTGCTTTTTGCTCCTAATAGCATTAAGTGATGATCGGGCAGCTTTTTGAGATTTATATTATTAGGTGAATTATGGATCACAAGCCAAATCTGGCTTACTGCCACCTGTTTGCAAATGGTTTATGAACTAAAATGACTTTTACATTTTTAAATGTTTGAAAAAAACACTAAAAGAAAAATAGGATTTTGTGACATGTAAAATTTTATACTATTCAAATTTAGTAAGCATAAATAAAATTATATTGCAATATAGCCATGCCCATACATTTTGTATTGTGGCAGAATATGTGCTATGATGGAAGATTTGAATAATGGTAACTGAACCAAATGGCCCTCAAAGCTGGAAATATTTACAAATGGCCTTTTACAGAAAAGTTTGCTGACCTTTGTTATCACTGTACTTGACATATATTAAGATATAAAATAGCTATAGATAATATACATATTAGATATGATTCATTTACTTTAGAGACAAAAATGTGTACATATATGTGTCCAGGCATACCTCAGAGATATTGCAGGTTTGTGTACAGAGTACCACAATAAAGTGAATATTGCAATAAAGCAAGTCACTCAGATTTTTTTGTTTGTTTGTTTCACAGTGCATATAAAAGTTATGTTTACACTCTGCTGTAACCTATTAAGTGTGCTATATTATTATTTCAAAAAAACACTGTGCATACCTTAATTAAAAAATATTTTACTGCTAAAAAATGTAAATGATCATCTGAGCTCTCAGTGATTCATAATCGTTTTCCTGGTGGAGGGTCCTGACTCAATGTTGATGGTTGCTGACTGATCAGAGCGGTAGTGAAGGTTGTGGTGGCTGAGACAATTTCTTAAAGTAAGACAACAATGAAATTTGCTCCATCAGTTGACTCTTCCATTCACAAAAGATTACTATGTAGCATGCAGTGCTGTTTGATCTCATTTTACCCAAAGTAGAACTTCTTTCAAAATTGGGGTTATTTCTCTCAAACCTTGTCATTGCTTTATCAACTAAGTTTATCAATATTCTAAATCCTTTGTTTTCATTCCATCAATGTTCACAGGATCTTCACCAGGAGTAGATTATATTTCAAGAAATTACTTTCTTTCCTCAGCCATAAGAAGCAACTTCTCATCCATTCAAGTTTTATCATGAGATCGCAGCAATTCAGTCACATCTTCAATATCCACTTCTAATGCTAGTCTTCTTGATATTTTCACCACATCCACAGTTACTTCCTCCACGGAATTCTTAAACCTCTCAAAGTCATCCATGAGAGTCAGATTCAACAACTTCCAAACTTCAGGTGATGTTAATATTTTTACCTCCTCTCATGAATCATCAATATTCTTAAGGACATATAGAATGGTAAATCTTTTCCAGAAAGTTTTCAAACTATGCCCGGATTCATCAGAGGAATCGCCATCTTTGATAGCTGTAGCCTAATAAAACATATTTCTTATATAATGAGACTTGAAAGGCAAAATTACTCCTTTATCCATTGGCTGCAGACTGGATGTTGTGTTAGCGGCCATGCAAACACCATTCATCTCCTTGTATATCTCCATCAAAACCATTGCATGAGTAAGTACATTGTCAATGAGCAGTAATATTTCAAAAGGAATTGTTTTTTCTGAGCAATAGGTCTCAACAGTGGGCTTAAAATATTCAGTAAACCATGCTGTAAGCATATGTACTATCAACAAGGCTTTGTTTTTTCATTTATAGAATACAGGGAGAGTAGATTTAGCATAATTCTTAAGGGTCCTAGGATTTTCAGAATGGTAAATAAGCATTGGCTTGAACTGAAAGTCACCATCTGCATTAGCTCTTGACAAGAGTCAGTCTGTCCTCTGAAGCTTTGAAGGCGGGCAGGTATTGACTACTCCTCTGTAGCTAGTCTTAGAGGGGATCTTCCTTCAACAGAAGGCTATTTCATCTACATTGAATATCTATTGTTTAGGTAGCCACATTCATCAATTATTTTAGCTAGATCTTCTGAATAACTTGCTGCAGCTTCTCCCTCAGCACTTGCTGCTTTACTTAGCACTTCTATGTTATGACAAAGACTTTTTTCCTTAAACCTCATGAACCAACTTCTTCTAGCTTCAAACCTTTCTTCAGGTTCTTTACCTCTCTCAGCCTTCAAAGAATCGAAGTGAGTTAGGTCCTTGTCCTGGATTAGGCTTTGGGTTAAGGAAATGCGGCTGGTGTGATCGTCTATCCAGACCAATCAAACTCTCTCTATATCAGCAACAAGGCTTTTTTGCTTTCTTATCTTTCATGTGTTCACTGGAGTAGCACTTAAATTTCCTTTAAGAACTTTTTCTTTGCATTCAGAACTTGGCAAACTTTTGCAAGAGTCCTAGATTTTGGCCCTATTTCAGCTCTCAATATTCCTTTCTCACTAAGCTTAATCATTTCTAGCTTTTGATTTCAAGTGAGAGATTTATGACTCTTCCTTTCTTTAGAGGCCATTGTAGAGTATTAATTGACCAATTTCAATATTGTTGTATCTCTGAGAAAATGGAGGCCTGAGGAGGAGAGAGATGGGAGAATGCCTGGTCAGAGGAGCAGTCAGATTACACACATTTATTGATTACGTTTGTTGTCTCATATGAATGTAGTTTCTGGCACCCCAAAACAATTGCAATAGTAACATCAAATATTACTAATCACATATAATCATAACAGATGTAATAGTAATGAAAAAGTTTGAAATATAGCAAGAATTACCAAAATGTGACACAGAGACACAAAGTGAGCACATGCTGTTGGTAAAGGGTGCCAATAAACTTGCTTGATGCAGGGTTGCAAAAATCTTCAATTTGTAGGAAATGAAATATCTGCAAAGTATAATAAAAAGAAGCCCAGTAAAAGAAGGTATGCCTGTGTGTGTGTCTGTGTTTGGTGTATGTAAATGAATCCAATTAGAAACTTGGAGACATATAGTTCAGAAGTAACAAAATTGTTGAACCCAAGGAAATTGCCAATATTCAATGTTTTTTGTCCCATAAAAATAACAATGAATTAAGACTCAACATAATTAAAAGTAAATTATATAAAATTGGATGTTACTGTAGTATAGCAGTATTTATAATGTGACCTTATATTAGCAAGAAACATGTACCTTATGATTATTATTAACACTTTTTTCTCCTGATAGTGATTTTAATTTATTTGTTGAATAATTTTTATTATTTTTTAACTTAGTAGACTTTATTTTCTGAATTGCCATTAACTTAATGATAAGCAATTCTGCATAACCAGCTTAAAATAAGAAAGAACAGATAGAAGGAGATGAAAATGGAGAAACAAGTGGGGATCAGATTCTAAGAGGTACCCTACCACCTCTTATAAAAGGGAGCAGTAAGTAATAGGGAATCGGGCAATGGATTAAAGCAGTAGAAAGTACATTCAGACTTGTGTTTTTAGGATTTTTATCCTCACAGCTGGATGGGGACTGCTTGGTGGATGTGACCTGAAAACAGCAATGCAAGGTAAAAATCCTGAATAGAGTAGAGTTGGTCAAACAGGACATATAGGAAGCATATTTAGGTGGATCATTTCATGGGAAAGAATGACCAGTTGATTGTAGAGGATTGAGAAGGAAAAAAGATATAGGTGCTCTACACATTGTTTACATTTACTCCCAGATTTTGGCTTAGAATATAGCAATGGAACCTAATGAGAGAATATATTAGAGATAAGTAGTTGGGGAAGATTTGCAGGCAAGGGAGAATTTTATGAATCTTTGTATCTGTGAGATATTCAGTTGTAGCATCCCAGCATGGAATATCTCTAGAACTTGAAAAGTTCATTACAGAGATAAATATCTGTGAATCATAAGTAAATCATCTAAACTAATGTTACCTATATGAGGTGATTTTTATCTTTCAGGACATAATGTGGATAATAGGTGTCAAGAGGAACAAAATGAAATCATGTGCCAAAGAGTAGCAATAGTTGCACATATGCAGTTTTCAAGAAGAGAATTGGAGCTTCCATCAGATTCTCATAAGCATGTATAAACCAATGAAGGTTAATGACCACAGGGCCAGGTTGTTTTAAAAGTAAGGACACAAGGTGAAGAAAGAGAATTTAATCAAAAAAGATAATAGAGACCAGAGTATTAATAAGAGAATAAGGCATCATTATCAGAAAAGGAAAATTACACTAAATTTAAAAATTCAAGCACTAGCATAGTAAATTAGGAAAGGTGAAAATCAGATTGTATATTAAGAAGTGTATTGAGAGTGAGGAAATAGAAATAGTAGATATGAGCTATTTTCAAAATGCTCAACTAAAGTCAGAAGGAGAGAGCAATGGCAAGGAGATGATGAAGGGCTCAATTTAGAAATTAAAGGGAGAAAAGACTTTAATATGTTTATATGCTAGTACCCTATCTCAAATTTCATATCAATTTCGACATCTGTTTAAAAATTTAACATTTAATTGTTTAACATTTTTTTTTTAATAATCACTTGAAAAAGTTTAATAAACTGAACCAGTAAATCACCAAACTGAAGGATCCTGAGAATGAGACAATTCCCTGTCATTCTTAACTCCATCCCCTTAACTAAGTCATTGCTAAATTGGCAAGTGGGAACATTCCTGTGGGAGGAGTGAGAGTGGAGCTTTTTTCCCACTGAATAGACTCACCAAAATGCCCAAATAGGATATAACTTCAGAGGTCCTTGAGAGGCAGAACTGAATGCTAGTGATCCTGGAATAAATCTGTGGATCAAACTTTGAGGTCAGCATCCGCTATTTGAGTTTGTCTGCTCTTTATACTCACTCCCACCCCAGTGCGTATGTGAAAATAGATACTTTGTGGTACTTACCATAGCAGCCTCTGCCCTTTGTCATATGAATTATGATCATTCAGTTTGATGACTAAAAAATGATGTGAATAGCTAATTTGTGAGGCCTATAGACAATAAGTTTGCAAAAATAAAATTGCTCTTCCCACACAGAAAAATATTTAAACATATATTGTTCTGTACAATTGAAAGGTAACAGATACAAATACAAAGGAATTGTGTTTCTCCTCCTCTCTCTTGAAGTACGTTAAATACCTATGTCAGTATGTTTCCAAAATATTGCCTTGGGCTTCTTGTCAACCTCTGTATTGAAGTAGTACTATGTGGTTATTTGAGGAGGTTTAGATTCATGTGATTGCCGTCATTTCTAGTCTTAGAAAACTTAAAAGACTCTTGCTTCTGTTGAGGTAGACTAGGTAATTTAGGCCAATTATTCTCAAGATAGCTAGAACTAATCAAATATCAATATGTAGATGAGCAAATGAATAAATACAGCAAGTAAGCATGTAAAATAGAAATCAATAAATAATTAAATAAATATGTCTACTTGAAGACAACAAAGAGCTAATAAGGAAAAAAATGAAGAAAAATATAAAAGTATAAGGATATGTGAATAAATCTCAATGAATATTGATTGCATAAAACAATGAACTATTTTGATGAATATATAAATTTTACATGTAGATATATAGATATACAATTAAAATATAAGAATACTATAATTATAAATCAAGAGATGACTGATAAATGTTTTTAAAGTCTTCATTTACTAGAAAGAAAATGGAATTAATCAATCAATATAAGGCAAAGTAACAGAGAAAAAACAGACAGAAAAGCAGGAAAATATATATATACTTAATAAGAGAGTAGATTTAAACCAACATATATCAAAAATCACTTTAAAACTAAATGAGCAAAATGTTCAAATTGAAAGACAAAGGTTCATGGCCTAAATTAAAAAATAAAGCCAAATGTAGGAGGTTTACAAAATAGACTTTAAATCAAAAAGTATTGTTAGAGAATAAAAAAATTTTCATGATGATAAAGATTCAATTTGTCAGAATTATAGAAGTTATGAATTTATTAATATTTGTACCTAATACCGTGGCCTCAAAATAAAATAACAATTGACAGAATTAAAGGAGAAAGAGAAAAAAATCTATAGTCATAGAAATTTAAAAATCTCTGGGAGGTAGAATAAAAGCCCCCCAAAGATATCTACATGCTAACCTGGCAAAAGAAATTCTGCAGATATGGTTAAAGTTATGGAAGTTAATAGGGAGATTATCCTGGATTAGCCCGGTGGGCCCAATCTAATCAACAAGAGCCCTTAAATGGAAAGAACTTTCACTGGCTGGAGTCAGTGAGAGGCAAGGGAAAAGGAACTGGGGAAAGATGAGGCAGAAGGAAAGATCAAAAAGAATCTAAGACTGAGAAGAACTCAGTCCATTGTCGCTGGCTTTGGGGATGAATGGAGCTACAAGCCTGGGCTATAAGCAAGCATACTCTACTGCTGTGAAGGAACCTCACCCAGAGCCACCAAAGAATCAGGTCACTCAGCCCTACAATGTCAAAATAAATAAATAAATTTGGCTGATAATCTGAATGAGCTTGGAAATAGATTCATTTTCAGTCTCTAAAAAGAAAAACAACCCTACAAGATGACTTGATTTTAACTTGGTGAGAGCTGACTCTGACTTCTGACTGATCAAATTGTGCGAGAGCAAATGGATATTATTTTAAGCCACTAAATTTGTGATAATTTATTACAGCAGAAACAGAAAACTAATGCAAAAGTTCTCAGTAACTGAGAGAGGTAGAATAGGTAGAGGAAAAAAATAAGACTAAGGAGACAGAAAATTTGAACACTGAAATCAGCAAAATTGACCTGGTGTGGTCTTACAGTAATATCACACTGTACCCAACAACTACGGAATTCATTCTTTTTGAGCACGTACACTATTTACAAGACTTTACCAAATGCTGAATTCCAAATAAGGTGTCAACATATCCAAAATGGCTAAAATTATACAGAATATTTTTATTAATCACCATGCAGTTGAGCTTAAAATCAATAAAAACAATGAAATAAACTAGAAACTTCCCATATAGTTAAAAATGACATATAAAACATTATTTATAAATGACATTACTTTATATATATAAACTCAACAGTATTTACAGATAAATTATTACAGTTAAAAGTGAGATTCGCAAATTTGCTGGATATAAGGTCAATATTTTTCAAAAAGAAAATTTTTTATAAACCAGCAGCAAATGGAAAATGACTTTAAAAATGTGATCCACTGACTGTAGTACCGACCAAAATGGAGTTTTAATTGTATTTATTTAATTTAAGTTCAATTAAACTTTTAACTGAAAGGAAACGTAATCCCATGTATTGGTGAAGATATGGAATAACCACAACTTTCATATACTGTTGGTAGATGAGTCAATGGGTACAATTACTTTGGATATGTGTGTAGCATCTGCAAAAATTGAACAGGTAGGTACCCTATGACTCAACAATTCTACTCTTTTCTGCATACCCAAAAGGAATTAGTGCACATGTTCATCAAAACAATATGTGTATGATGGCTGTAGACAGTCATATAGTGGTGTAAAGGACATTGACAACTAAGACGGGGGAAGGGAGGAACAAGGGTGAGGGATAAAATCTACCCATCAGGTACAATGTACACTACTCTGGTGACAGGAACACTAAGAGCCCTGACTTCAGCATCATTAAATTCATCCACGTAACAAAAACACTTGTACCCCATTAATATTTAGAAGTTAAAAAATGTATAAAAAGATTCATTGAAGATTTTCCATAGTAGCCAGAAACTGGAGGCAATCCGAATGTCGGATGATGGCAGTGTTGTTTTACTTTTTGTTAGTTGCATTTGTCTTTTTCACAAACATTTTGGTTACTCTTCTCTGTATTTCAAACTTCTCACCTGAAAATGGGAATGATAATATTATAATTGAATACCTACCTCATAGAGTTTAATGAATAGATGTAACAAATTTTAAAACAGAAAGAAAATAACCAAGATTTTCAGTATGTAAAACAAGTCATATCTGCATGTTTGGTAATTATTTTAACAGACAACCTGAAGCTGGTTATCCTTATACCACTTATCTATTCCTGATATTATATATACGTATATTCTTGTTTATTACATATCTACTTCATTGTAATTTAATCTGTATTAATGCTAGAATTTTGTTTTATTTATTTTCTTCATTGAGTAGAACAGCACACAACACATTGTAGAGTACTATATGTGGAGTCATTTAATTATGAATAGTATAGTCGTGAAATAGGAAAATATCACTTAACATATATATTCACATTGATGTTCCTGAGATAAGAGTGAGATAGAAAATAAGGGTTTGTTTTGAGTTAAATTTGGAAAGAAGCTCATACATAGTAAAATTTCTAAAGAAACAAGTAAAAGCTTTCCAGATTATTGTAATACATTGCATAGTTTAAAACAACAGTAATAATGATAAAAACACCACTTTATTTTAAACTTGTAAAATATGAACTATGTAAATTAAGGTCCTTTTACATAATTCTAGGAGGAAATTATGTATTTATTTGTGATATGACTATTATAACACTTGAGAATTTTTACCCTACTTTTCATGTCCCAGAAAAACTAAAGTCGTATTGATTAAGCAACATTAACATGATTCCTCTTTGACTACACATCTCTTTTTTTCTTCTTTACAATATTTTCCTACATGCACAGGTTTATGAGGCTCAACACGAAGGTTCCCAAGAGCTTCACAGTCAGCTTAATAAATTTGTGGTTGATCAACTTCTGTTTCTTTCAGTTCTTAATAACATGAAACTTTAAAGGCTGCTTCATAAATCTAAATTTAAAATGCCATTCACAATTTAGAAAGGTAAATATTAGCAGTTGAAATAAACTTGGTTTTCAGGAACAATCACATTGTTTTATAAATATTAACATTATAAGTATATTATAAATTATGTCTTGTTTGACGGTTTAAATATATCCAACTTTAAATTTATAGTAATTTTAGTATGTATTTTTCTTGCTCCTTTATCATTAGATATACTCAGTAGGAACTAATTTCATACCAGACCAGTTTTAAATTTGTTATTATCCAAAATTTACCAATTTAGTGGGATCATATCTTCTGATGTTGAATGGAATAAAGGCAGATTACAATGGTAAATTAATTCTAATAATTACTATTTATTAAGTGCATGTGTGCCAAACAAATTCAATGTGTTTTCCATGAAATAGCTCATTTAAAACTTGTAATAAATACATGTCTAGGCCAGGCATGGTGGCTCACGCCTGTAATCCTAGTACTCTGGGAGGCCGAGTCAGGAGGATAGCTTGGGCTCAGGAGTTCAAGACCAGTCTGAGCAAGAGCGAGACCCCATCTCTATTAAAAATAGTAAAAAATTAGCCAGGTGTGATGGTATGTTCCTATAGTCCCAGCTATATGGGAGACTGAGGCAGGAGGATCGCTTGAGCCCAGGAGTTTGAGGTTGCTGCGAGGTAGGCTGACGCCATGGCACTCTCCCGGGCAAGAGAGTGAGACTCTGTCTCAAACAAAAATAAAAATAAAAAATATATGAAATAAAATAAAACAATACATACAGACTCAAATAATGTGTTCATTGTTTTCATTTTACAGATGAAAAAGTATAGTAATAGAGAAGCATTAATTACTTTGCCCAATATCTCACTGTTAATAAGTGGCAAATCTAAGCCAGAAACCAAGAAAGCCTCCCTCCAAAACCAAGTGCTCAA